AAGTTGACTATATGCCATCATGGCATATACTAAGGCTCGAGCAAAGCAGGTGCCCAACACCCAACCTCGCACAGCGATGATACGCTGGAAGCCAACACAAACAGTAACATCACAGACCTTCACATCTACCCCCGTTGGTTCTCAACTTGAGCAAATACAAACTTCCTGACATGCTGCTTAATGGGCGAACTATTTTCATTGTCATCTTATGACGGCGAACGGTCACACTCAATCATGACTTCATATACTGGGCCCATAACGTAGGAACTGCTCCTTAATGCGTACCTCAAGAGTAGGAATTCCTTACGCTCCTTAGTAAGGACAGCTTCATCATCTATTCTCTTGGTAAGGAGTCCTTACTTGAGGAGTTACGCCTCCTGAGCTATAGAGCCACTGAGTCATGACTTAAATCTTATTATTAGACCGCCAGACTAAATCACAAATCTTGGAACATTTCATGGTTGAGTTGACTCCAGAACTCTCCTTTGACATATCCGACTTATTGGCAGTCTCACTTTCGTCTGTCCGCTGACCGATTCAGAATTGGCAACTCCTATGTTCGCTGTCCTCAGCTGAGCTCGTACAGTTCCCTCACTAATTATAGAAATTTGTATACAAATTCGGGTTGAAGTGAACAGAAACGAACGGAAATTTCCCAAAATATTATCGGAATTTTCATATTGTCACCAACACACGTAGTTGGCCATGTGCATATTTCACCACGCACTGCACCACTGAGGTACTCACCAATAGCTACGCCACCCATCGGCATCGATATTGTGTGACAGTCTGTATGGGTAATACGACTTCGTCGCCTCCCCTCACTGTGAGGCCGTAGATGACTTCCCTCTTGTCACAATCGGGGTCTGATGTACCGACCATCGTAGAGCATCGCAGCGCACTCTAGACCAGGTCGAATGAGCGCAAAGGATTTCCTATAAAATGCTGTGTCACTAGAAACAATAGGGTGGTAAAATATGGGCATGGTCAACCACATGGTTTGGTGACAATACTATGACTCTGAGGAAATTTTGGATAACTCTTGTTAGTTTCTGTATACTACTCATATATTCTCCCAATTCGTTTGATAGTTGAGGAAAGTATCGAGCTCAGCTGAGGAAAGCGAATATTTTTCTGCAGCACTGAGGAGCAATATCATGTCTGCAACGAATTCTCCATTAACGTTGTAGATTGAAATTGAGATGAGCGCATTCGCGTCGCCTGTTCATATATTGGTCCGATCTAACTACGAACACTTTCAGCTGGTTTTTGTGTAATTATAATATGATGTTACTTCGGTCTCTCAAGAGCCAATGCTATCATGTTGAGATTTCTGTTCGAATACTAGCCAAGCTATCATCCTCGACGTTCACTGTTGAGCTGCATAGTGGTAATGGGTATACTATATGTGTAATTGTGCCGAGTTCTATGGAATCTCAGCTCAGCTCGAAGCTAGTTGATCATAATTTAATGAATATGATTGTTAATAGAATCTCTCGATTCCATTTGTTGTCAATGCCCACGGCAACAGTTTTACTGGGACGAACACAACAACGGGTATCTATGTATGTGAAGAGTACGAACAGCGCAATTGTCAATACTTCGTGAATGCTTCCTAAAAAGAATCCATACCATCTCTAACTCCATTAACCATTGCATTGAGCTCCCTAATGGCTAACAATATGACAAAAGCAGTTGAGCATCGTTTGAGATGGGCTGATTGAAATAATCCATGGAGTTTCATGGTTTGCTATACACGTTACGGTCCTCGTGAATACTACTGCGAAGCGAGGGTATATTCATTACTACATTAATTACGCCGCTCTAGGGGTATAAAGTTTATGAGGCATCTAACAGTCGAACCACGAAGAGCACGAGAGACTCTCTCTCGGAGAGAGAGAATGAAAATGTTGATGAATTTAACAGCAAGTTGTCAGTGACAGTCGTAGTATTTATCACTTCGTGTGAGAGGATTCATCTGTAACTCGTATAAGCATGTCGAACAGTTACAGGGTGGTGCAAAAAAGGGTCCACCCCTCGTAACTTCGCGGAAAGTGACAGGTCGCGAGCAAAAAAGATACCATTTGAATGCCCTTAGCGAGCTCTCTCCAACGCTGTAGGGCTCTTCCCTTTGTAGCCGATTTCGACGTTACCTCAGCAGGGCAGCATACCTCCCGAAAAATATAATGTTCCCGGAGAGAACTCATTTTGAATTTTCCACATCGTTAGGAACACATTCTTCAATCAGTTTCCCATGTAAATGTCATCACAATAAGAATATCATTTTCTCCTGGGAAATGTTATTTCTCCAAGCTACATGAGTCCCTTTACCTCAGTGCACAAAACGAATATCAGAGCCATTCATACAGGGTTGGAGAGAGCTCTCAAATGGTATCTTCGTGTTCACGAACTGTCACTTTCTGTGAAATTACGAGGGGTGGGCCATTGCTTTGCACCGTCCTACGTGTTAGAGTTCGAAGAGTCGGCAAGTGAATCAGCTACAAAATCCACTACGAGATCACGGGCTGTCCAAACAAAGGGTGAGAGAGAGGCGGACAGACCGCAACCTTAAATGGGTTCTCATCGACAGCACGAGGTTTCGAACTCGCGAAAGCTATAGCCGAGTGGGTTAGGAGCTGATCTCCTTAACCACTAGAGCACATCGTCTGTTTGATGAGTTTACCCACTGAGCTGTGGTTTGATGCTAGCCAGCTCGCTCGGCGAGCATGACAGAGACTCTGTGCGAGAGTCTTTATTCCGTTCGGCGAGCCACAGCTGTGGGAGCCAGTCATATCCTGTCAGTATGCGGCCGGTGGTGATGCATCATCGAGGCTGGCTCGATGAGCGGCTTCATCACTGGTCGTGACGCTTACGAAGAAGGGATCTCAGCCGTGGCTGGATCAGTGACGATTCGGAGCTTCTTACATGCTTCCAACCGAGGCTGCTGGCCTGATGCAGCCTTGTAAGCTGTAGGTTGTGGTGGCCACAGCTTCCACACAATGGTGATGGCGGCTGGGAGCACAATGACAGGATGTGGATATCTGACTTGATGATCGCTTGCTGACGGTTGGCCGGAGCATTGTCAAGTGAAAGATAGGGCAGGAGAGGAGAAATGTCCCGGGCGGGTTTGGGATGGGAAAACAAAGGAAAACAAGTCTCGAGAGGCCGAGCCAGCAAAATGGCGTCTCGAACTTGTTGATATGACTGAGGCTGGCCCGAGCGTTTCATCGGGCGTGCGAAGGATACCAACGTGTGGCACAATTATTGTCCCACAAGGATCGGGGAAGAGTCGTTCCCCCGATAAGCCGGATCTCGATAGATTTTGACCGGTCGATAGTCAGGGCCTAATACAACCTTCGGCTGTGTTATGCCCACTGTCAACCTCGCATCAAAAACAGACTTTTGCCGTTTCGGAAAGCCCTATTCCTGAGTCCAAACCCTGATGATATTATCCGCTATCTCGTCCGTGTTCCTGTCTAATAAGAATATACATCCGTTTCGTATCTTTTCACCGACACTATAGTCAACACAGACCGCCGCTCATCAAGTGAAAGTTGGATGATCTATAATGTCTCATATCAATTCGTCTTGACCGTCCTCTTCCAGACCCATACCGCCACCAAAACTCTTGTAAGTAGTTATGTCAGCGAGCAGCTGATCGAGATCACTGAAAAGTAACATCATTATAATTAGCAATAAAATGAGCATCTCACTTGTCACTATATCGTGACATACTCGGTATCAACGATTTCGCCACACTCGCGTTTTCTGGCAGTAACGACACCAACTGCGCCTGAAAGAGAAATAGTAATCAACACCAGAGAGAGGAAGCAGCACTGACCATCTCGAAGCTGTGCAACTTGCCTCCCTGAGCCGCAGTAGGTGGCTCCCAGTCCTCGAGTGCTGCACGCAGCTCCGTCAAGGCTTCAGGATCTGTAATTTTAGAAAACCTGACAACAAAAACCGGATGAACAGAATAGGTCAATTTCTGTTAGAAGAGTGTGTGTCAAAAACCACCGACATTTCCACGAGACCAGAGCATTAACTTTGGACTTTTTGAGTGCGTTTTCAAAAAGGCGCAGACGAATTGTAGGGAATCGTATCAATCACCATATATGTAGTTGAGCATGTCTCATTGGAATGTCATCAAAACGACAACTGACTCCATTGGAGTTTCACGAGCGGCCGTGATATGAAAAACTTATTTCACGACTACTGCGAATATCGCGTTTTCCACAGAGTTTCACGACGCCACTCCACGTAAAGCGGGTAGTAGTGAAACTCCATTTAACTCTGCTGTGACAGAACGACTGAAAACGACTGACTCCTTACCTGAGTGCATGCTTATAACTCTGCTCTAGGCATTGTGTCTTAGCACTAGTACGACCCGACTCAACCAAACGGGCGTAGGGTTGTCGTAGAAGCTGTTCTACTTCACATATATTCAGACACTGAGCTTTCTGCCATACCTAAACACAGTCAACACTAGAGTGGTTCCTATGGGGATGCCGATTCAACGTCTTATATCGTATTCTACTGATACTGACCATCACTAGTATAACACACACAGTTGCAAAGCGAGCGTAGCTCATACCGTAACTACAAACACTTCCGTAGTGTGCCCCAACTACGGTGTGAATACAACATTGATAATTTGCAGTACCACCATAGTTGCAGTCTATATCATCTATACAAACAACACAAACACAGTTGCAAAGCGAGCGTCGTAGCTCATACCGTAATCGCAGAAACTTTCACATACACAATAACTCTGTTGAGAATACACTGAAGTTTCGCCCTTTTCACGTCGTAATACTCCGTAAAAAACGTGATATTCGCGGTGGTATGCAGTAGTGGTGAAATATGTTTTTTCATGTCACCGCTCAAGAAACTCCATCGAAATTTCTACGACTTCAACACCCCTTACCGGGTCGAAACTAAGCTCCGCAGAATCCTGATGATCCTCCATTTATACTCAGGCAACTACTTCTACCTACGACATTCATCCCACTGGGAACTCAACAAAAAACTATCGGAATCGGATAGATTGATAAAAAGTGTGATAAAATATGTACATGGTCAACCACATGTGTTGGTGATAACAATATGAAAAAAATTCTGAGGAAATCTTCCCATCAGTTTGTGAACATACTACTTGAGTTCGCATGTGAATTTTACAGTTAGTGAGGAAATTCTTTGACTCAGCTGAGGAGAGCGAACATATATTCCAACACTGGAAATAGAAAAATAAAAACCATCTAGACCGACAGTCGCAATCTGCGACAACAAAAGTAAATACAGGGTGCACAACTAAATTCGAATTTTCCACTGAGGAGTGTCTTATTAGAAAGATCTTGGAGAGCACTTCTAAAATCCCACTACTTACTACAGTGTGTTCGATTTTCACAGGGAAAAGTGCATATCTTTTCGAATACGCAAACAAACCTTATTAAGGCTTATTAGATGTGAAAACTAAAAAAATATAGATATTGATCTCCGTTTCACTTGTAGGGCGCGTGGGGGTGATAGCCCCACCGCTTGCTGTTACGATTTGATACTCCCAGTTGGCTTCTTTCCATAATTGGTATATCTACTATTACTAATTCATATCATCGCGTATTCTCATCAAGTAAACCATACAATATTAAATCACATATTGTGGTTTGTCAATTCCCTATAGCGACGCTTTACCAGGAAGCACTTTTGCTCACAGATTTTGAGTAAATTTCGGTATGTCAACTGCACATAGCTCAGCAGAGGCAAATCATATTTTACAATTCAAAAATACCATTTAAAAGTGCTCTCCCAGATCTTCCTATTGAGCCACTTTTCACTAGAAAATTCCGTGAGTTGAATTCGACAGATAATACCAGATTTCATGCAGGGGCTTTAACCTCTGCGAGAGACTCCAGTGAGAGTAGTAGCTACTTTTACTAAGCGAACATATTATAAATAACAGACTAGTGAAGCGTCGGAAATGCACGCTGTTAGATGTGATTAAGATTGGCAAAAAATACACAAGGTCACGCGAACGGCGTCGGTGTCATCATATTAAACAATAAAAATCATTTTAATGTATATGATGGAGTTTCTTCACCCTAGTGATATGGAAAATATATTTCACGACTACTGCATATCACCGCGTTGAATATCGCGTTTTTCACCGAGTTTTACGACGCCACTTCACGTAAAACGGGTAGTTGTGAAACTCCAATGATAACAATCTCTTGAGTGAAATTAGGTCACCAATATTACCACGTTTATATCCCCAGCTTCGCTCCGCTCAACAATAGTGTTATTTTCCACGGAATATTACCAGTGGGTGACTGTACTCTGATAGTAAAAAAGTGAATCTTCATATCCCGACGAGTTCACTGCGACACGAAAATGTCATATCGAACATCTCAGCTGAGCTCAGGAGACTTTCACTACGAAGATTCGCGAAAACATCGGCGAAAAAAATCGCAAAATTATCAAAAAATATACTCAAAAATGTGCATATTTCCCTACACCCGATGATATTCCGATGATAATTTCATAAAATCTACTAAAAAAGTAAATCCCATCGCGAAACGAAATATTGTGTTTTCGGCGGAGTGAACGCAGTGTTGAAATATATATTCGCTCTCCTCAGTTGAGCCCAGCATTTCTCCCACTAGTTATACGAATTCTAGTACAGAAACCAAATAAAGAATTTTCTCAAAATTTTTTTTTCATTTTGTTGGCACCGACACATGTAGTTGTGAATATTACTTTTGCGAACTGACGAGGTTGGAAGTTAATCCTAATTTAAAAAAAACTTGTTAGGTATTCGCTCAGCCGCAGTATGTGTGCAATATTCTCATATTTTGTCGTTGTTAACCGAAATGGTTGTCCGAAATATTACCAAGTTTTTATATTGAATTTGTTAAATCATCATGTTGGTGGTGAAATACGAAGCTGACTACTTGACGAGTCCTCCGTATAGCATCTGTCAACGACCACATCAGGTCACCGAGTGAGCATTTTGTCGTATAGTAACTTTCGAATTGGCGGCTCATTATAGATTGCTTCTGATAGTATATCGATTTAACCCTCTCCTCCTCCTCTGGGAAGCAGTAGACCTGGCGACGCTTACCTCTGCAGCTGTTATAGTAGGCTCGCCTACTGGTTTTACATGTCGTATTATCGTTAACCATTACTTGTATCGAGACTCTAGATTCCAATAGGGAATGTATGATTACTCTGAATTCCCCTAGGAGAATTTTTATGATCGTTTGCTCACATTCCTTATAACATGAAACGGTTTTGGTAGTGGATAACGAAAGCTCTTTTGATCCAACGACAACTGCATCGTGCTATGCTCTCTATCGGAGAGCCAGTGGTTGTTAATAATATGGTAATCGATCACTCGAGAAAATAACGGTGGTAAAACCGAGATCATCATGTATATATATTGTGATTAGTTCAACACAACCATTGTTAGAGCGGTTCGGATATGTAGATAACAACTGTAGTCATATATACACTATCATTTACTACATAGTTACTATTATTTTTTGTATTCAAAGTATAATTTTATTATTAAACACATATATATTAAATAGCTTAGTATATACTCAACTTTAATATTGTAGAGGAGGACAGCAGCTAGAGCCATGTATCAGGGCGCGCGCTACTGTCTACGACGACCACCACAACATGAGCTTAGGCCTTAGCAGCTGTCCCATCACCCTTTTCTGATGTATTCCTTCCGAGTACCTTCATCTTCCTGTCTTTGCTACTCGCTCCGTTAGCTTGCTCTCCCTCGCTAACGCCTCTAGGGTCTTTCAGTGCGGCGGTCGTTAGCGATTCTATATCTTGGGTCGCTACATGGGGAGATAAGCTCTACCGCTTGTAAGTCCCTAACCGTTGAGTTGAGTGACACAGCTTGAATGGTAGTAGTTGGGGATACTCCTCAGGAAGCCGTACTAGTGTTATCGATACTCATTCGTTGATAGTTGTTGTTGATGTCCTATTCTCTGTGTTCTAAGGGATCGCCTTCATCATCATCGTTGTTGTTGTCGCATCTACTCAGTCGCTCAGTGTCAACTGCATCTATCCGACCAGCTACTTTCCATACAGCTCAACAGAACTCCTTCAGGTGAGGCCTCGAGATCACTGTATGAAAATCTGACTCAAATTTCCAAGTCGTAATTGAATTCTGAAAAAAAACTACATTTTTTCATCGTAATTTCAGAGTGCTGAACTCCCCTAGTAGAATGTTCAGCAGCAGCTGCGAAGCCTCGCCTTATGGTGGTGCTAAGGCGGCGTCTAAGGGTAATAACAATAACTCGATTTCGAAGTCGTTGGTCGTATTATGGTCAACTGCTTTTATAGGAAAATGTTGTTCGACATTATTATTACGTGATTTTGCCATTGGAGGAATATATGTTTGCTTTCCTCAGCTGAGCTTAGAGGAGTTTCCAGAGCTGATTATAGATGTAGGGGAATCAATGAGAATTTTTTTGCGAAATTTTTTCATATTGTCACCAACACATGCAGTTGACCATCTAAGTAATTTCCCTAAAAACTAAAGGCTGATATATTTTTCCGATTTTTTGTCATACCATAAATTGCTCGAATTTTCGATTCACCCATCGTTCAGCGCCGCACACGAAAGCTCCTAAGAAGATCACTTTAACACAGATCAAGAAGCTTCATCGGGAAGGTGATAAAATAACTATGATGACGTGTTACGATGCTATGACCGCTGGTAATATTAACACCAGAAGGTCCCGGGTTCGATCCCATCACTGTGCAGGTATAGCTGAAGAATGTGGCGTTGATCTCCTCCTGGTGGGAGACTCGGTCGCTAATGTCGTTCATGGGTTTGAATCGACTGTGCCGATTTCTATGGATGCTATGG